CGCAACATGAGGCCCGAAGCGCTCCAGCCTCCCGACCGGGCTGGTTGACGGTCTCAAGAGAAATGTAACACTGCTGCTGAGCCACGTATTTACAAACCCGAGTTTCTCCAGAAGACCGCGAGGGCATGGATTGTTGTTTCCTTTTCCCCCTATTTACCACCTAAGGGGGCTGCATTTGGGCCAATGAAGCCTGCACGTATCGAGGGGTTGCTCCTGTTTCTTCCCACCGGAGAAACGCAACAAACACATGCCCATGAGTCAATGGTGCGTTTGCCCATTTCCTTTACTCATGTTCTTGCAGCTGGAGGAAGCCACGTGCAAGCCACGCGGCTTCGTAGGGTTTCCATGTTTGGGGCGCGCGGATGAAGTTGTATCGGGGATGGCTGGAGCGCGGAGATCTGAGAGAAGCGGAGGGCTGATAGCGGTGTCCCTCCAGTCTTTTGGTGAAGTGAGTCAGCTTGTGGCACAGGGTGACCCAACGGCCCTGGAAAAGTTTCGTCAACCCTCCACAAAGAAGAATCGATTCACCTCTGGGTAGCTCAAGCCGGAGGCGGGTATGATTGAAGCAAAAAGCTGCCGGGTTTTCTTGGGTCGCCTGCCGGAAGCTTTGTTTCGGCTCCAGCGGACGACGGGATGGGCCAGTGGCAGCCCGATTGTTTTGGACGCGTCCTGGGCAGCGGCAGCTTCGCGGTGGTGGCAGAGTGCACTTGCGCTTTGGGCGAAGAGCTTGGGAGTTTTTCTGACATCACCGCCTCAAAAAAGAAGGATTTGGGGGAAGGGGGGTGACGAGGGGGGGTGACCCCTGTAAGTCCACGTTATGGTTCCATTTTTTTTCGTGGTGTATGTAAACTCATAGGGTAGTGTCCTGAAACTCTTGCAAACATCCCCGCCATGAGGCGAGAAGATCCCCCGACCAGCGACCGACTGGGCAACGATCACAAACAAGGTCAGCGAGCGAACCAGGCTCCCTCAGAGAGCTTCACGCAGCCGGATGCGTTTTTGGTCATATTTCCATCCGAGCCAGCGGCAGCAATGTGTAGCCTCGATCACTGCAGTCGAGGGATAGATGACCTCGGATGAAGGAAATGGTTTTGTTCCGCTTGTTGCTGGTGAGCCGCGGACATTCGTAGTCGATGAGGTTACAGCAACGGACAAGCAACAGTTAGTGCTCACCGTCATCTACTATAGTCAAGTGCAGGCATTGGCTGCACTCACCAAGTTTTCACGAGGAAGTGATTGGGGGCCACAGTGTGTGGGCATGGGTCAAAATTAAACCGCCAGAAAACCACAGATTTTAGTCAATGTTTCCATTTACCAGGGTTCCATTTTGGGTAGCTATTTTTGACCGTCAGCCATGTATTGACCACGCCTCACAAGGTTTTCCGACAGCGAGTCGTGAGGCAGCAACAGCCAGGGCCAGAAGAAGACCTTGGCCGCGAAGGTTTTCAAGGAGAAGCGAAGCCCCCCGCAAGTTATCCGTCCTTCAAACTTGAAAGCCTCCACCACGGTCGCCGCTCCCCTGTTGCTGTGGCTGCCCAGGCTCAGCGAAGTCCACCACTCAACGGAAACGACGCCGCTTTGACCACAGCAAAACCAGAACTGTTTCTGCATCCTCATTCAGTTCGTGTTGTTTAAGCCACTAGGAGCTCAAAGTCTGCCTGTACTTGTTTCCAACTGGCTGAAGAGGGGATGCCCCATGCAGAAGCTTGTTCACATCCCGTTGGCCAAGCTTTGGTGGCAAACTGGCAGTCGGAACTGGTTGCATTCACTGCGTGCAAGTGTGAGCTCGCAACCCTGAATCAGTTCTACTTTGGTATAGGCAACGAGGAAATGGCTGGTTACCTTCCTTTCGTGGCTTGGGGATCCATTGGACAAGTTTGCGCTCCGTTTGAAAACGGCCGCACGAAATCGCGGGCGAGGAGTCTACGGATGGGGGCCCATTTGCACTGCTGCATGAGGCTGAGTTCTTGAGAGCCACAAATGGCTGTCCCTTCATCGCCTCTTGGGTTGGAATTGAGGGTGGGTACCCGAGAGGATGTAGGGTCAACATGGGCGAGAAATCCTTATGACCCCGGATTCATACACCTGGGTTCATTGAGTGAAGCTAAAGCGGGGCGCCTGAGCACAAGTCACAAGGGCTTTGCTGGTCCTGAATTGATATTCAAATTGTTTCTAGGTCGACCCAATTTTGGAACCCACGCCGAAGGTCAATGAGCTCTCTCGGTTGGTTAAAAAGGGGCTCATGAAGGTCCTTCACTGGTGTATGAACAGAGATTCTGGTGCGCGAAATGGTGGCGCATGTTCGACTACAATTGACGCGACCATGAAAAGGCCGTGTGCTACAGCAGCATGCAGAACTACTGGCAGCAGTTTTTTTGTTTTTTTTCAGCCTCTTTTCCGAGATTGGAGTGAGGGCTGAAGTACGGGTTTCTCCCATGGCGATTGGCCGAGGTGGGATCTGGTGCATGCCAGTTCGTTGCAAAATTTGCGGAAGTCAGTCAATGCGAGGGCATAGGGGCATGGGACTCACCAAAATCAGAGGGACGCATAATTTTCCCAGGTCCAGTACCCCATTTCGAAGCAGACGGCATAGTCTGACTCTGGCTTAGACGGTTCAATGCCTGGAATGTGGGAAGGTGGTTGGCCCTACGGTTATGGAAGTCTTCTCAGCCGCCTATGAAGACTAATTTGTGCTTCTCACTTGGTTTGGCAATGCTCTTGTCCAATAAATGCCGAGTTGAACGATATGTTGACATGACCCCTTCAGCCCATGCGGTAACATGGATTCTTGTTTGAGATTGGGTTGCTTTCTTAATGCGCCCAGTTTTTTCGAGGAATCCCAAAGTCCAACCACCTAGGCCACCTAGGGTCAAACGCTGGGGGTAAGAGGCGGTGGGATTTTCCGCATTCCCCAACTCCAATGGGATCTATGGGTTTGGTTTCTGGGTGCAAGCTTGTGCGGGTCTATTGCATTTCCCCCCCCCCTTTTGTGGTGGGGTTTCAAGGACGGCCGAAAAGGAAGGCCACCATTTTGGGGCCCTCCTTTTGGTTTTGAAGGAACACCAACAGGAACGCCATCCGTTTTGGGGGGTCCGAAAAAGCGACACCCCACAAGTTCCACGAAACCCCGGTGTTCGGGTGGACGCCCTTGAGGCACAGAGCCTGGGGAGCTTCAACGTGGACGCCAGCAGCACCAGGAGGACGGGACGCGTGTTCTTTTCTTGAAAAGGGAGGGCTTCAAAGGCCCGGTCTTGGGGTTTTCGGACAGAAGGGTTGGGGTGGTTCTGGGTATACCGGAATACCCTCCTTTGGGTCGTCTTGCCGTGCCCCGGAAGGGCATCCAGAGGCGTTGTGAAATGGGGAGCCGCTTTGCATGTTTGTGGACACCCGGCGATCTTGCAAGCTTGAGCCGCCTGAGGAAAGTGTGGTTTTTGTGTCTTGGGGGCTTGCTGTTGCTGCAACGGACTCTACTCTTTAGATGGTTTTGGAAGCAAACAGAGGTAACACCAGCACTTCCCATAGGCCCCTGATCACTAAGGCAGGGAGGTCGCACCGCCGAAAGGTGAGGTCGCTAGAATTTGCCTTGAAACCTTGGAAGAATCACAACCCAATTGAATGCCAATCCAAACTCGCCCCGTGAGCAGAGACCGTTGCCCTCAAGCTTCAAATGACCAAAGCCCGCTGAGCTTTGGCTGTGCTGCTGCTGCTTGCGCCCATCCACCTTTGTGGCCTTTGGGCTTCATCACCGGTGTGTTTGTTTGAAAACAAATAGAGCCATTCCGTTTGCATAGCCGCAGAACCTCCCCAAGCGCGATGAGACTCTACATGTGAGTCTCAATCACTGCATGGAAACGCGCCTCAGTGGCATATGGGCCTTGCGCCAACAGCTGCGTGGCGCCCCTGCAAATGTGGTTGGCATGTGTTTTGCTTTTCAAGTTGGTTTGTTGTCAGCATTTTTAGCAGCGGGGGGTTGTAGGGCTCTTTTTTTACTCTCCTGATCTCGTCTGGCTCAGGCTAGACGAAGCCTTGGTAGCTCCTGCTGAGCTGGGAAGCTGGTTCTGGGAGCTTGGCCACCTCTTCTGGTCCTGCACAGTCTCAGTCTCAAAGCTCAGTCTCTCTACGCGCACAGTCCGGAACAGGGGATCTTCTTAGCGGCCTTGGCCTCCTGAACAACCCAATACCTCAGAGCCTTCCAGGGCTCGCACCCAGCACAGCCAGATTGCCACCTGCACTTAGAGCAAATGCAGATGGAGTGCTCAAGCGATTTGATCTTGTGGCTTGCTGTGGCTGAGAGATCCTCCCATGTGAAGCGCTCAGAATGTCTTTTGATTGCTGCTTTGGCCGCCTCAGCTGCTGCTGAGGATTTGTTCTTTATCTGCTCCAGCCTGGCCTCAGCTGCTGCCTTGTTTTCCATGTGCTTTGCTTCCTGCTGCTCAATGGCTTTTCTTTGCTGTGTGAGGCTCTTCTCAATGGCAGTTCTCTCCTTGGCTAGGTGTTGGTAGAGTCTCTGCAGCCTGCCTCTCCACAGACTGGGCTGGGCCTAGCTTGGGTGGGTTGCTGGGCCTGCTTCGGTCAGTTGCTGGAGGCTAGTCTCAGACACGTCACGTCAGACAGGCCTGGCCAGCAGGAGGTCATGCCGGCAAAACTTTGGATGGAGGGGAAAAGAGAAGATTCTCTTTGGAGAAAGAGATTCGAGCGCCCCTGGCCCCCTCGCAGCCAAACCGAACTAAGGCATACTTACTAAGGCGATTGATGGACCGGTTGGTTGTTTGCGACGGCCGTGATACCCTGAAAGCCATCGATGAAGCCTAGACCCTTGAATTTGTCCTTGGGCCAGGTGAAGCTTTTATTGACCCAGATGTGTCTATGGGTCAAAACAAATGAGATCCCTTTTTGGGGTAGGTGCACCAGCCATTTTAGTCTATTTAGGGCTCGGGGTTTGACCCATGGCCATGTGGCTTTCACTCGCAGCGGGGCTTGCGGCCAGGATCCTGGGGAAGATGAAGGAGACGGACGACGTCACGCAGGCTCCCACAAGCTCGCCAAACGAGAAGAGGCGGGATGCGAATATTGCTTCCCGCCAACGCATGCTCTCTTTCCCTTACTGGACAAGTAAGAGGACAGGGGTCTGTTGTTTCAGTGGACGGCAAAACCGTGTTTTTCCTTCAGTCTCCATATGAAACACCCAAAAGACGCACCCATAGCGTTTTTTCCCTGAAGGGTTCCTGTTAAAGCAAGGGGTCTGGTGGTCAGCATGTGTTCGCCAGATGCGCCGCTGCCACTGCAAGTGTCCGATAGCGTTCGCAAGTGGTCGCAAGCGCTCGCCGTGGCAAAAGCCGCCGTGCCGTTGGGGAAGGCAATGTGCGATTTGTAGCAAGAGGTTGCACCCGTACTTAACTTGTAGCTTTTGCCAGGTTGCGTGCCGTTTCGCTGCGCAGGCGCAGTTCTTTGGAAGGTTGCGCCCTTGTGTCGCCGTGCCATTGTGATTTGCGATTCATAGGCGATCAAGCACGTGCAAGCGCTTGCGCGAGTGTCATGTTCGTTGGCCCTGTCGTGCAATCGGCTCGAATTGGCGAGCCTAAAGTCTCGTGGCAGCGCAGCACGTTGGAGCACAGAGATGTTCGTGGCAGGCGCAGTACGTTGGAGGGAAACAGAAAGGCGGACAGATAGCGAGACGCACAAGCACATAGACACATAGGGAGATGGATTGATAAGACAAATAGACGAGCGGGATGGTTGACACAAAGATAGACAGATCTATTCTAGGCGCAGAAAGATACGATATACGGGTTGGTTGATGCGATTGATTTGTTAGATAACAAGGTAGATGTGAATGGACGGATGGAGGGATAGATGGGCAGCGAGCTAGCTGCGAAGATAGACCAGCAACCCGGCTCAAAGACAGAAGAACAAAGAATGAACAGGACAAAGCAAAGACAAACAGGCAAGAAAGAAAGGAAAGGAAGAAAGAACGAAGGAAGGAAGGAAGGAAGGGAAAGAAAGCAAGAACGCAAAAACGAACACAGGACGGAAAAAAAACACAGAGAAAGAACCACAGAACTAAGTAAAGAAAGAACCACAGAAATAAGTACATAAAGAACGGAAGAAAGGACATGGAAAGGGAAGGAAGGAAGGAAAGAAGGAAGGAAGGAAGGAAGGAAGGAAGGAAGGAAGGAAGGAAGAAGGAATGCAAGAGCACACAGAAAAGAACGAAATATCAGAAAACAGAGAACAGAAAAATAAAGAGACAGAGAGAGAGAGATAGAGACAGGGAAAAGCAAAAAGAAAGACAGACATAAAAACCAGAAAGTCATTTAGTAATTCAACACAAAAGACAAAAACGGCACGACATGAAAATAGAGGAGCAGGCAGGAAGGAAGGAAACAAAAGAAAGAAGGAAGGAATGAAACACGAGAAAAGGCAGAAACAAAAGACATAAATACAGACATAAACAAACAACGGCAGAAATCAATAGAGCAATGTAGACAAATCCGCGTATTGGATAGCTAGATAGATAGACAGACAGATAGATCGATAGATAGTCAGATAGCTAAGTAGTGCTTGATGGATAGATGGGTAGAAAGTTAGATGCATAGCTAGACAAACAGATAGATACACGGGTGGGTCGATAGATGTACAGCTGCGTAGATGCACAAATGGGTAGATAGATAGACAGATGTAGATAAATAGATGCGCAGACAGATGCATGGATGAATAGGCAGATGGATAGATGGACGAATCAACAGGCCAATAGGCAGGTAAATGTATAGGCAGAGACATACACACATAGACATGCACGATAGCTTCGGGAAGTTCATTTGCATTCGGGTTTGTGTCTCCTATCAGGTTTAGAATTGGCCCTTCCTGTGAGCAAAAGGAAAGCCAGGAAGCCGTTGGCAGTCCTTTAATGGGTTCCAATCTTCATAGGACACGCCCGATGGGAAGTTCAACTCGTGTCCCAGAAGCCGGAAAAGCTCCTACAGATTCTGTCCAATCTCGAAACCATTCAAGGCAGTGATTGTGCGTCAAGGATCAGTCACCAGCTTTTCAAGCTAATCCCAAGGCTCTTGTTCTTTCAGTTCGTAACTTTCTTCTGTAATTCCTTCATCGCAGTTCAAGCCCAGTGCCAGGCTACCCAATTGGCAACAAACCAACAAGTGGATGTTTGGGGAGATTTCTACCTGAACAGAATGCACGTGCAAGATCAAATGCAAGAACCATATGTGTGTTGCTGTCCGTTCAGGCCAATGCTGACGAAGCACACTCCTCGATTAGGAGAGCTTCACGTACTTGTCACATTCCATTTGCCACTCAAGGTGAAGTAAGATTCCTGCAAATGGGATAATGCCCTGAAATACGACCAGAGAGTGATTCTCCCATGGGTTAGCAACTTTTCTGGGCATCATTTATTTGTATATGACGTGATAGGATGACCTCACGGGGATCTCGTGTTTCTGGTTTTGACGTGTTTCAATGCGAACATGCTAGGGGGTCCCAACACCTTCCCAGAATCCCTTCAAAATTTAACCAACAGGGGACCGCAGATTTTGGTCCATGTTCCACTTACCAGGGTTCCATTTTAGGTACCTATTTTTGACCCACAGCCATTTGACAAGGCTCGAACTGTTCACAGCGACTTTAGGAGGGTGTAGGCCCCTGGAGGTTAATTAGCCTGGCTCCGGTTCAAGGTCTTTGTCCTGCACCCATTTGGCACAGGTACTTCTTGCTCATGGAAATGTTTGACTTCTCACTGCGGCAACTCGGAGACATCTCGCCTCTGCAGTTGGCATCGGTAGGCCAGTCCGGTGACAGGCGCAGGATAGCTTGATCACGGAGTGGATGCTTGCCCCCCGGAGAAAAACAAGAAGAAAACACAGTGAGCCCAGCATCATGGAAACGCAGAACAGCAGGAATCACAAGCATGCATGTATATTATATACACCTGCCACTTACTTGCATAATATATATATACACAGGCACATTGCAGTTTTGCAAGTTGATTGACGTGCAAGACATGAGAGACACACAAATGCATGCCACATCTGTATGTACATGCATTCATACGATACAACACAACACGGCACAATATAGTACAACACAATGCAATACAACACATCTATACATGTATCTATACACACATCGATACACTCATCTCATACATACATGTATACATACATCTACACTTATACATGTACAGACACATTTACATATCCATCCGTCCGTTCGTTCGTCTGTCCATCCACCAGTTCATCCTTCCATCTACTCATCGATCCATCCCTGCATGAATGCATGAATGCATGCATGCATGCATACATGACATACACACATTGACACGCATACACACACATACACAACCACACGTGGGCACACACACAGAGACACAGACACACAGACACGCAGACACACACACATACACATACACCCACGCACAACCACACACACACACATCGGGTTAACCACCATGGCAACTTGGGCTGTCCTCCTGGCAACCACCTTTCAAGTTTGCAGCTGGAATCCGAAACAGAGCCATAGAGGAAGCACCTGTTCAGTTCCACTTGAATTTTCTGGGGGCAAGAGTGATGGGACTTCAGAGAGCCCTCAACGCCTCCAACTAAATGGACGCCTCTCGAGGCAGGTGGTGAATCAGCGCTATCTCTCGGAGGCGGAGAGCGCCTTCGTGACCCAAAGCGTGCTGCAGGCCAAAGGGGCGCTGGGCAGCGACATTGATCAAGATACCTTTTTACTTTCGGGTCTTACACAAATGAAAGGGATGGTTATGAGAGTTGGTCTTTCTCTTTCGCGGTTGTCAAGGGATGGCTATCAAAGTTACCTTTCTACTTCCTTTTTAACCGTTGGTAGGGATGGTCATGAACCGCTTAGGGGTTTAAGTTTAAACCCATCAACGCAAAGGCTCCAGGGAAACGATGCCCATGAACCACCTACCCAGGTCATCTGGCTGTGTGTTTTGTGAGGCTCGGAACCGTTTTCAGAATGATTGAAAGGGAGGCCAAAACGAAACCCACGATTTTGGGCGTGGCCGATTTTAAGACATTCCTATTTGGGACTTTCTGAACACTGGGTGCCCTGTTTCTCGTTTCCAAGGGCAACAGCCGATGAAACAGAAGCTTGCCTAAACTTGGTGGCTCCCAGCCATCCGGTTCCTTAGCTTTTTCGCCTTTTAGTGTTTAGTGGTAGTTTCCGAATTTAGCCCACTAAAAGAAAGTTAAACTTTTCGCGGGGGATCTGAGGGCAGCCCAGTAAAGAGGTTTGCCACTGAAGCATTTCTATTTGCTCGGGCGACAGATGGCGCGATTCCCGGTCGGTCGGGGGTCATGGAACTCCAATGGGTCATTGTGCCGGGAGCTGCCGGCCTCCCTATGCAAACGGACACTGTGGATGGACGAAATCTTGCACCAGCTAAGAAACCCTGGTTTCTGATGATTCCACTGTAAATACCAACAAACACAATGATTTTTCATGGTTTCAAAGTGCAGGATTTCGTCCATCCGCAGTAGGGCGCATAGTAAGTGGCTAGCCATAGTTAGACCCCACTTGGGGGACATACAACCATGGTACCCTCCCTCCAACTAACATGGCACCGCTCAGAGGGTCCCTTCAGGAGCAAATTGATCTGCCAGGTACCCTCCAACAAGTGCTACGTTAGTGGGAGAGAGGGCAATTAAGTGGGATAACCATGCTGGCAACCGTTTTTTGAGTTTGCTTCCTTTCCGGCCGGCTGTCATGCCTGTTGACAACCACTCACTAAGCACCCTACCCCTTTCCCCTTTCAGTAGGAGTCCGTGTGCTTTGGACTCGCCCCTAAAGCCTAGAAAGGATGCCCTGAACCAACACACACACACACACTCATAAGGGTTTTCCCCTTAATTTGTGTTAAAGCCTGATTCACCCAAATGTTTGGCTACAATAACCACCCACCAACCCCCAGCAAAAGGTAATGAGGAACACCACTATGTCTCAGGGATCTCGAGGCGGGCCACTGTTTGGTCACCGAATTGGCACCTTGCAGGCCCTGAGCTTCTTGCATGCCAAGAGCATCATGCACGGGGACGTGAAGCCTGGGAATGTTGCTCGACTGCACCTGAGTTTGTCTCCAAAGGGCTGTGGGTCAAAACCAATGGCACCATTTTGGGGTAGGTCACCACCCAAATTTTAGTCAATGTTAGTGGGGATTGGGATGTTCACTGGGGTACGGGCTTTTGACTCATGGCCAAATCTTGTTGTTCCGTGGTACCCTTCTTATTGTTCTGTTCGGCGGGTGGCCCACAAAATCATTTATGAAAAGAGTTTGTTTGTTCTACCAGGGTCGCTTGCCAACTGGAAAATGTGTTGGCATGCCCAACACGGGTTTCGATGTTTGATTTCTTGTTGCAGCAACACCACAAAGGGTACCCTTACAAAGATCGGAAACAACCACATTTAGGTAACTCAACCCAGCTGCCCAGAGGGTCCCACTCAGTTGTCCTTCGTTTGGTTTTGGCTTTCCATTCTGCGAATTCACTGGGTTCCTCCAATTGGTTGACAAACCGTTTGACAGTATCAAGTGAAAGAACCTTGTGCGCCTTTGGATATTGACAAACCTTTCCACACTAACTGGCAACGTAAGTAAAGTATGAGGGTCGAAGACCGGCGGCTCGCGGAGTGAACGACTAAGGTCCTCATAGGCGACTGCGGGCGAAGGCGGCTCGAGTGCAAAAGAAATCCGAATGCGGGGGAGAGCTTTGGGCGGCTTTCTTTTGACTTGGTGGCTCCCAGCCATCCGGTTCCTTAGCCTTTGAGCCTTTTAGTGTTTAGTGGTAGTTTCCGAATTTAACCCACCAAAGTCGAACCTTTCGCGGGGGATCTGAGGGCAGCCCAGTTGAATGGTTCGGGCCTTGCGAGATTCTGTTTGTTTCTAATCTTGAAGTACTTCTATAGAGTTCAGGTGCACTTCAACACCTCCTGGCCGTGCAAAGGTGTTCCTTGTTGTTTGCTCCGATTTCAAGTTCAAATTCGAGCCCTGACCTCAGTGCTTCAGTTGCACAAAAGCCCCGCTCGCGACTCTTCCTGTCAGTTCCCTGTCAAACCTGCACACCCAAGGAACAAGGCTTTCCTGTCACACGACTGGCCCAGCGATTCCTTCAAGTCGAGTGAGATACAGAATTCACGGTTGGACCCACCGGGGGGGGGGGGAGATTAGAGTGCGCGGATCCCAGAGCGCAAGTGCCGAAACGCTTCAGTCCAACATGTCTGGCATCAAGTCGCAACTGTGGGAGGGGATCCTGGAAGATCAGTTCCCTGGGCCTGTCAGATGCCATGTGGAAGGGAGGGTATGTGTTGCTTTCTCTGGTGTTTCTGCCCGCTGAAAATCCATCTGCGCTGAAATTTGCAGTTCTCAGATGCGTAGGTATCAGCATGGCGGAAGCAGCCATCCGCATGTTGACGCGAAGCACCTGTTTGCGCCAGCTGAAGTGCCGTTTGAAGTTTCCGCGGAGGCCTGTCTTGCAGGGTACTACCATCAATGCCGCATGGAGACCCTTCCTGCTGGGAATGTCATTGCTGGGCATATTGCATCACACGCTGGCTGGTGATGGTGGCGCTCCTGATGTTTCTGACGCATCCAGACACGAGTTGCAGAGACACGCACGACCCTGCCCCCCCCCCCCCAAGCTTCCACATGTCGAAGGGAGACAAACCAGGATCGAACCGCACTTCTTCAGCCCTTCCATGCCTGACAGGAGGGCCCGAGTCGGCATGTACTCACTGGCTGGCTCCTTGCAGGGCATGCAACAAAAGAAAACGAGCATGAATGGATATGTTTATTGGTGTGTGAAGCCGACATAGGATTGCACAAATTAAATGAGCTTCAGGGTGTCCAAGCACAAGGCAGAATGGTCTAAGTTGAGCTCTTTTCTATGGGCTGTCAGGTTTTGCTGTTTGGTTGCTATTTTGCGCCAATTGTGGGTAACATCTTGGAACACGCCCCATTTGTAAATGGGAAGGGTTTGTGGGTTTCGACGTTGGGAAATAAACAACCCTAAAAAACAAAGTCTACACTTTCCAGCCCACCTCAAAAGGGGGTCGAAAGGCAATGATGTTTGTTGCATATGGACGATTGTATTTTACAACCAGTATAGAAAGCAGTTTCGATTTGGTTCATTTGGCTGTGGGTCAAATTTCTGTACCCCTGGTGAACATCAAAATAGGTGGCAAATGGATATTAATCCACCCCAACATGGGATCGCTATAGGTTATGCCCCATGGGCATTTGGGTTGCGCAGTTTGCGGCCAGGGTGGTCTTGGCCGACCTGGGCATTGCCCAGATGCTGAAGCCGGGGATGAAAACCACCAGCTGGGTGCAGGGAACCTTGGGCTACACCGCGCCAGAGTGCTTGGCCCCTTGCTCGAGACGAGCATATTTTTTGTTTTGTGATCATTTGCATTTGGTGAGCCACTTGCTCAAAGCCAAGTTGGGTAAATGACGGTGAGTACGGAATAGTCCC